TAACTCGAAAATGTCAAAATGTTAGTGCTCGTGCAGCAAAGAAAAAAAATTTTATTCTTCAGGAAGTCGATAAAGGGGTCAATAAACTTTCCTTGCAATATTTCTTTCTTTCTTTTATTTTTTTGATAGGTAAGATATATAAAATAAATATATATTAATTAACAAAAAGGTGTGAATAACTTTTTTAATATATAGAATTTATGAATTTAAAATTTGTTTTATGTGGTTTATATTAAGGAAATTGAAAGATGAACCTCTATATAGCGAATTTTCCATATAACGAACTATTTTTTGGAATTTAGAGATGATTTCGTTATATAGAGGTTTGACCGTAATTACCTAATATAAATTTTCTTAAAAATAAAGCATCTGAATCAGTTAGATATTATTCATTATTTGTTTATATTTTTTTTTAAAAAAAGGTAAAATATTTTTTAAATATTTGTTTTTGTTTACATCGTATTATTTTTGAAAAAATTTCCTTTTAGCAATATCTTACGCAAAATAATTAATTCTAAGCGTTCAGTAACATATCGAGTTATTTTCTAGTGATTAAGTTATTTTGAATGAATCAGTCATTATAATATGAAGATAATAAAATCTAAATTCCAAATAATTATATATATATATATTTGGGTTATTCCTTTTTAATATTTATCGGAAAACAAAATTAATTGGTACAAATATTTTTATTTATCAAACGAAATTTTTTTAGAACAGAATTGTATAATATCTAAAATAAAAAAAAAAAAAAAAATTTAACGGGGGGTGTATGACTCTTGGAAAATATTTTATATACGCGTCAAAAAATGATGGCTAGACTAAAGGTATCTAACCTTTTGTTTCTTGTGGACCCTCTGGGTTCTAAATTCTAATTATGTAGATCCCATTTGTGTTTAATGTTCCTATAATCAATATTTATTTGTAGGATATTAAAACTAATAACTAAACAGATAAGCAATTCCAAAGTGAAATATTTTTACATGTTATTATAAGGTTATAATTAAATAATTCCGACACAATATTTGAAAAAATATAAATTACAATTTTTGGAAATTTTAATTGATATAACCAAGACATTTAAACAAACTATCCACTTGGCCTATACTAAAGCTGCTAGGCGCTTCTGCCTCTTGATACAGTCAGTCAGAGTTATTATGATAAAAGCGGTAACAAAGTCTATTTATGTTACTCTAAAAGGAAGAATTTTGTTTTCATTTTTTCCCTGATGACCAGCAGACCACAAAATGGAAAGAAAATGTATTGAGATAATGTGAGAGGTAAATAAATTCTAGGTAGAATAATTAGATACACTTAAACATATATGAATATATATATCGTCGGCCTAATTATCAGACTGTGTACCTCCACTGGTGTAACTGATTTGATATAGAAGTGCAACGCGCCAAGCGCTTTTTGGCGCGATTCCTTAATCGCGCCAAGCAGTGGTTGTCGTTTGGTTACATCCAAGATGACGGCCTAGCGTTTCGCCTTTGTTCTGTCTACGCCAGGCCTCAGTGCGCGCTCCGTTTTTAATTTATTCCTTCGATCAGTGTAATCACTATTTTTTTTTAATATCATGATAAAACTAGATTTCGAAGGCAGAGGTGATGTGGCTAGACTTTAACATAAAATAAATACAACAGAAAGTAATATTAATGTATTACACTTTCAGATATAAATTATTTACACTATTTTAAGCGTTCATTACACAAAATTTGTAACAATATCGCACGATAAAAATATCAAAGTAAACCATATTGTAATATTATCACCTATATTGGAGAACATTAACAACAAATTGACGCCTAGCCCTTCTGTATCAAATTAGCTTCCCAGATGGAGTTACGCAGTCTGATAATTAGACCGATGATATATCAAATATATACACTTAAATATAGCTCGAGAAGAACCGAAAAGGGGTTAAGATAGTAACATTTTTTGCACAATATAACTTGAATGAATTAACTCACTTAAATTCTTTTCGAATGTTGGAAATGAATATTTTAATTAAAGCTTTTTAAATTTTGTTGTATTTAAATACACAAAAAATTTTTGACACCTTGTTTGTTTTGAAAAAAACGTGCTTTGAATTCTTGTGATAGAATATAATGTGGTAGATATTTTATATTACTAGATCATCATTTAAGGTAAAAGTTACCATGTTTGAATACTTGAAATGGAACTGCATGAAGCCAATATTTAGAGAACCATAATTTTAAAAACTTATATTGAGAGTATATTTCTGTGTTAATGTTAATGAAAATATTTTGTTCGGAAAATAAAGAATTTGTTTTTAACAGATAGTTTCTGAGTATGTTTTTTTTTTAATTTTTAAAAAAGTATTAAGAATTGCTTAAGATTATAGAAGTGTTGAGCGCAAACGAGCAGACTTAATACTCAATAACAAATCGAAAGCAATTAATTTTTTCCACCATGATTTATTCATTCCAATTACAAATACAGTCGAACCTACATATAACGAACCTCTATGTAACGAATTTTTCTATGTAACGAACTTTTTCCTGGAACCCAGAACATTTCATGATTTTCTTCGTAAAATAACCTCTTAATAGCGAAGTGCATTTTCTATATAACGAACGTTTTCTCTTGTGATTATATTATTTTTCTTCCTATTTTTTAAATACTTCTGGACATTTAGAGTTATTTTCTCTTTTAGCACTCTTTATGGTGGTCATACATCTTGAACTCGTTTTATTAGGTGTCTAACTTGCCCAGAGCAATAGAATTCTGGGCATTTCATCCAAGAAGTATAATCTTTAACCCCCATTCCCCTTCCCGTCCAGTTCACTGGTAACATCTTCGATAACTCTTTTCGCCCTCAATGGAGTTGTCTTGTGTCCCCGTGTTCTTGAACTAGTCTCCGTTCATTTGTAGTGTTGATCAGTCATGTTGGTAACTTCGTTTCTTGTAGCTCGAAATTGTCAAAACGTAAGTGCTTGAGCATCAAAGAAAAAAAATTAATTTTTTAGGAAGTGGATAAAGGCGTCAAGAAACTTTCCTTACATTTTTTCTTTCTTTCTTTTTGATTGTTAAGATACATAAAATAAATATTATTAATTTACAAAAGGTATGAATAATTACTTTCTTTAATATATAGTGTTTATGAACTTAAAATTTGTTTTATTTGGTTTATAAAGAAAATTGAAGGAGATGAACCTCTTTTAAACGAATTTTCAATACAACAAACTTTTTTTCGGGATTTGGCGACCTCGTTATATAGAGGTCCGATTGTATAAGGTTATGTTTGTATTCCTACATTTCTCACCAAATTAACTGTAACTGAGTGCGCCATATTTTCCTGTACTCCCCTCTCTATCTCAACTGCAACTTTACAACTCTGCTTTCTCTTATAAGATGCAGATTTTTTTTTAAATAAAAAGTCTTTAATACAAAGCTGTCTTAATAAAATGTTAATTTAAATGTCTTTAAAACAATAACTGTCTTTAATACAAAACAAACACGGACATTGAGAATTTTTTCTTATTATCTTTAGTCCAGTAGGTAAGCTCTTCGAATACACCTGTCTAATTTGGAATGTTATACATGGAGTCACATACTTGGTGCCCATTAGGGTATCGGAAATATTATTCTTTTTTTACTTGAGGGAAATATGATTCATATATTAATTATATTTTTAAAAATCACTTTATTACTCTAATGGACGTTTTAAAATGATTTAATAAAGAAATAATAACAATAAAAACCCATTGGTCTTTCCAATACTAAATCCCTTTAATCGTTAAAAGTTACAGTCTACATTTGTAGTGTTTAGAATATTTGTTCACCTAATGCAATATTGGCGATCTTAAGCTATTTTTACAAACGTCACAGTCGAATCTCTGTCTAATTTATGAATGACAGATAAAGCTTTTTATTCTATGAAAAGTTTCAAAGATGAATTGAATGCCAACCAATTTAATGATACTCGGATAAGCGAATTTTAATTTGTCGGATATAAGCGAATAATGCTTTAAAAGTATGATAAATAAAAAACTCATAGATAGGAACTATAAATGGATTTTATAAGAATACCTTAACCCATTTCAATATGATCAAGGTATTACAAAATCAAAGTATTATATATATTGCATTTTATTATAAAAACAACATTAGAACTAATAGAATGTTTAGTGTTCATAACTCAAACATAAATAATGGAATAAAAGAATAAACTCTACAACATTTTAAAAAACAATATGGGGCATAAATTCCTAACGCACATAGAGACAAAGAGGGATATAGAAAAAGAAAGTAAGCAAATACAATGGCGATGAAGGAACATCTTTCTTTTTCTTCCTGACTTGCCCCGCTAGTATTTGCGAACAGTGTTTGACAAGCTGTTGTTACCTAGCACTTTGGTATTTGTCTTGTATGGCTCGATGAATAAACCCGAATGAGATTTTGGCGGCGAAGAACAGTTCCGTCGCCTGTGGGTGCTTTGGACTATGTCAGTCAAAAGACTTCTTGGAAAAGAATTTCCCTTTGTGTTTTCTTGCGGTATTTGATCACTTTTAGATAAACAATTCCCTCTTTTTTGAATTCTTTTCCACTCTTCTGTTTGACCTTTCGTGATAGGTAGCTCATTAATTATTTCAATATCAGATATGGTTTGTTGCTTCAAATTACATTCTTTCATTATAGAATTTTTTTTAAAACACACTATATGTTAAACAAATAATATATATAAAAAAATTAAATTAATTCCTTCTTAGGTCAACACAATTTTTTTTTATTTTAGTTACTTTTTATGAAATAGTTACAATTCATATAAATATATATATACATATGAGAGACAGAATCACAATATTAATTGACAAAATAGAAAGCGATTTTCCTTGCAGTTTTCTATTTTCCTTTCTATATAAGGTGTTGGACTATTTATTTTGTGTGTTTATTACTCTTTATTCATTAATTAAATTTAATTATTCCAATAACATATTATAGTAAAAAAGAATTCACATTCTCAAAAATTAGGCCATTCCTGGTGGGATTCAAGACCTCGACCTTTGGATTAGAAGTCCAACGAGTTATCCATTGTGCACTACAGAAACACAACGATTGATTTTACTTTCTATATAGGCTGTTGGACTATTATTTTTGTTTGTCACTATTTATTGATTTTTAAATTTAATGAATGAATTAATATTTGAAAAAACTGTGTTAACATCAAGTGTTATCCACTACAAGTTTAAAATATGTATTTGAACTTAAATGGATGAATATAAAGTACTTTATTAACAATCGAAAATTTGAACAAGATATATATATATAGGGATTGAACTAATAGTAGGAATTGAAAAATGGAACATATGTGTATGTCATGAAAAACAGTTAACAAGAAATTATCAAGAGCTATGAGACCCCCATCTGAATAATTTGCCTAGAGTAGAATGTATTTTTTTCATTGTGAAGAGTCTAAGTTATGTGACATTCATTACCTCATTTCCCTCCCCTAATTCAAACTACGTTTATTTTAAGTAAATCATTAGAGTCCCCTGATTTGAGACTGTGATTAATAGCACGGTTATGTAGGGTCACGCCGATGAGAGAAAAAATCACCATAAAATTGTGAAATGTGTGGTCACACAGTCCTAATGTTGTGACGGAGTTGTCAGTTTTCCACATTTTCACTTAATCAAGGGAAATGGATTTCTTAAAAATGTTTTTCTCAGAACTGGTATGACTACCCCCTTTCACCACGTACATACTTGAAGTTGAATTTCGTGACATATTTTATATATATCGGTGCTGTAATTTCTACTTCAACTGATTCATGTACTTATTCACTCTAAGTTTACAAAAATATCAAGGGGTACCAACACTGGTATGACTAGAAATGCTGTTTTCTCTATCTGTCGATAAAATTTAGAAAACAAATACTTCTCCGGTTTGTATTAATTTAGTACGAAATTGTACCTTTTTTGAAGTAATATTTAATCACTTACTTAATTCAATATATCTGTACTTTCCTCGAATGTGTAAGACAAATCGAAAATTTACGGAAGCATTAGCTGTATGGGCTTAAATTCAGTTGAGACTTTAAGCAAATAAAATATTGTACATGAACAGTTGAAAAGTTCTGTGAAAGTTAGCAGGAACATTTAAATACATTTAATGCAAATTAACAGATATTTTCCTTCCTGCATTCAATGATACGATGTCAGTTCCTTTCTGCACCATTTTCAAGTTATTGTGGTAACCCTAGCATACATTCATGAGAGGAGGAGAGGAGAGAGAGGGGAGAGGAGAAAGAGAGCAAATCCAATCTTCCAAAGATAAGACTGTGAAAAAGGCGAAATGTTCGTTTCCGCGTAGAGATTTTGGGCTATGATCGAACACATTCATTTCCAGTTCTCCATTTCAAGGAACACAATGAAAGTTCTGTCTTCCTTTCTCTGCATCCAGAAATTAATGGATTACGGATACTTTACCGCATTTACACTGATTTAGAATATTTTAAACAGATAAATTAACTACTCATAATTAACCAATGAATAATTACATGATATTTGATGATTACATTTATTTAATATGTTCGTGTTCGATATTACATAATGATCCTAACGCTTATTATATATATATATATATATATATATGAACAATTAATATTTGATATATTGGAAACAAATTTAAAAGCCTAACTATGTCACTTTCTTACGAAAATTAGATCAGAATATATCTTATTGTTTTTTTAAGCAAATACAATTAATGGGTAAGTTTATTTAAAGCTTTATTCATATGCAACATACTTCTTTTATAAATTTACTCTTCATCACCTATTTATTTGATCATTTGACCACTCGTCGATTTTGAAATCAATAAAAAAAATTTGAGCCAAAAACCTAGGTATAAATATTCTATTACGAGAATCTCTGAATTTAAAAGAAAATTTAAAAACTAGTCTTGATCTTAACGCAATTCCGTTACACATATTTTGATTTCATTATAGTTAGAATAAGAAATACTTTTAAATAGACATATTAGGATAAAAAAAACCCATTTAAATTAAACATATTTAAATAAAAAATATGATCCTAACCGAAACTTTATTCATATTAACACTTCAGGTAAACTTGTTGAATTATGGTTTAAATTCATTAGCGAAAACTCTCGATTGGAAATCAATTCCTTCATGATTGAATACATGTCTGAACGGAACAGAGTTTGGATGATTTAAATAATAAAATGCGAAACTACTTAGAAAGTAGTTTTAAATCAGTCATTATTTTCTAAAATTGAGACGTCTTTTGCTGCTTAAACAATACAGTTAATATAAATGCTTATAAAAAGGAATATTCATTTTTCTCTAATGAAACTTTATATTTCTATAAAGAATATTCATGATATTTCTATAAAGAATATTCATGATATTCTATAAAGAATATTCATATTTCTATAAAGTATATTCCTTATATTTCTTTAAAGATATTTCTATAAAGAATATTTATATTTATATATTGCATGTAAGCTTCCACCTTCGACGAAATAGGGGCTTCGCCAATAAGCTATGGTTGAAATTTTTAGATGTAGAAGGTCATATCGTAAGGTTAGACATCTAGCAACACCATAATTTCAAAGTATTAGAGATTTTTTTTATCAGTACCATACAATTTGTTTCGAGAGAAAATGTCGAGTTGAATACGCGTCCTTTGGGGAAACGTTTGATTTGCATCTTTAATTTGAAGAAATCTGCAGCAGTGGCACATAAATTGCTTATAGAAGCATATGGTGAGGCATCTTTGAGCGAGAGAAGTTGTTGATAGTGGTTTCAAATGCTTAAGAATGGTGAGTTGAACGAGAGACGAAGACAAAAAGAGTAGAGGAAGATTACTGGAAGAAGATACGTGACAAACACATGAAGATCCTGCGCTTACATTAGTGACTTAACAAACAGTTTAACATCGCTTAAAATTATCGGAAATGATTTAATAGCAAGGAAATCGGGTTCCATATCAGCTGAAGCTGAGAAACATAGAATGCTGATTTTGGCATGAAATGTAGTTTGTCAAGCATAAAAAAATGGACTTTTTTGCCTCTTATAGTCACTGGAGATGGAAAATGGATCCATTAAGATAACTGAAGAAGAGAAAACCAGGAGACCACGTGACCATGCTTCAGCAGCCGAATAGTTCTGAAAAAAAATTCATGTTGTGTCTCTTGTAGGATCAGTTTGGTGTAATGTATTATGAGTTGCCCAAACCAAAAGAAACCGTTACTAAGGCTCTCTACCAAACTCAGTTAATGATTCTAGGCCAAGCACTTAAGAAAAAATGCACCCACTACTATTCCAGATGCAACAAAATTATTCTTCTGCCTGATAATGCTCTCCCGGTCAAAGACTACTTAGAAACACTCATTTGGGAATTCCTATCCCATCCACCGTATTCACCAGACCTTTCCCCCTCCAATTGTCACTTCTTCCAATGAAATGCACATGGCCTGTTTGAGCAGTATTTTACATCATGTGAAGATATCAACATTATGTTGATGCGTGGATAGCCTCAAAAGAAGTAGCGTTTTTCCAATGCGGTATCCGTATGCTGCCAGAAGGATGGGAAAACATAATGACTAGCAATGGGCAACACTTTGAATAAAACATAACGTACCATTATCTCTCAATAAATTACCAATTTCTAATAAAAAAGACCCGGTGGAAACTAATTAGTACTCCTTATAGATGTAGCCTCCCAGCCGCGAGTAAAATACTCATTATTTTTTTTTTTTTTAGACAAACGATCAGGAGAAATGCTAATAATTTCTTTAACAAAATTGACGACGATGATAAAAAATTTATATCACTAGCATTGAAAAATATACTCTTAATCTTAATTTCCACAGACCGAGATCAAACCTAATGAACGTGCTTGTCTTTAAGGTATCCGACTACGTTCGGAACCGTGATTTTGCAAAAGCGTGTAAATGGATAATATTTATGATATTTAGTGTCACTTAGATTAGAATACATGTATAAAATTGTTTTAAGGACATTATGATAAAAAAATATTTAAATACAATATTTTGGCAAAAAATTAACTTAGAAAAACGTTTTTTTCATATGTTCTCCTTTTGTAAAAAATGCTTCTATTGTATTAATATTTTGCTTGTATTCAGCTCAGACCTCTGTACAGAGGCTCAACTAGAATTTTTGAAATGCATAACTTGGAAGTCGGTTTATCCATGTTTTACAAAAACAGAAGGGAGAAATTTTAAGAAAATACACCGATAATTATTTCAAATGGTTGCAACTCTGAAAATAATGTGAATTTTTCAAAAATCATAGTTGAACCTCTGTACAGAGGTCTGAGCTATAGACAGGCAAAATATTAATACAATAGAAGCATTTTTAACAAAAGGAGAACATTTGGAAGAAAGGTTATTCTAAGTTAATTTTTGCCAAAATATTGTATTTAAATAATTTTTTTTTGTCATAATGTCCTTAAAACAATTTTATACATATATTCTAATCTAAGTGACACTAAATATCATAAATATTATCCATTTACACGCTTTTGCAAAATCACGGTTCCGAACGTAGTCTCGGATACCTTAATTCCTAAATATGTTTTCTTTTATTTAAATTATTCATCTTTTACTCTTATACTTAAATTATCTCTATTAACTGCTCAATGATTGGTCAAGCTCTTCTTCCTAAGCTACTTAAATGTAAAAATAGCTCACCTCTGTGATCAGCCAATCACGCAAGCTCCACTCGATACCAACTCATTTTAACTTTTTACCTCCAAATATTTTCTCTCTTTAACTTTCATTTCTTGGCTGCAACTGGATTGGCAGGCACAGCTCCGCGCCTACTCCTAAATTTTTCTAAGTAGATATTTTCATCAATTTTATATTTGTAATTTTAATTATATCAAAGTAATTCGTTCTTTTTATTAATTTTCAATAGTTTTATTTTAAATTCTAAATATATTATTTTTAAATAAAGGCGATTCGAAAGCGTTTTCATGCCATCTAAAATGTCTTAAAAGGAGATGAAAGTTCGGGAGGACTAATTTCTCCCACCCCACCAAATTACAAACTTTTTATAGATAAA